AGATGGATTAGACTGCATAATTTTTTCAAGTAGGAATGACTTGCCTCTCTGAATATGTATTACAATTTACAAATTTAAAAGCAACAGACCTGGATTACCGTAATTGATTGCATATACGTGTACAGGTTCTAAAATGTGATGTTTATCAATAATACTCTACCATTTAAATTAATACACCACATATCCTTCTAATGGTTAATCTAGACTTGTACAATCGTGTAGATGCAGAATACTTCCTCAGATTCCATATTTCATTGAAATTGCATAAGTTAACTCAGTACATCAAGTGTTACAGGCTGGCTAATTGAGGGAGTCAAGCCTAGCCCCAGCATACTTCATGCATACCCAACTGGAGAAAAGGATGAAGATATCTTGCAAAGCATGTTGGGTAATACAGTCTCTATATAGTTGACCATTACCGTGCAAAATATTATATCGTCTCCCTGTTGCAACAATGACAACTAAATATCTTTAAAACTTATGTCCACTATTTACATACGAACGATTATCCTCACCTTTGTTGTTGTTATCACATCGTTTCGACCGTTGTGCCCTCCGGCCTTCATCATCTTTAAAATGTTCCTAACCTGAATGGTGATGACAAATGTTACTTTCACAAAAAGCAAGTGCGTGCTAGAATGCTAATTTTTGGCTTCCCCCCATCAAGTTGCCTCTGTATACATTTTGGAGGGGGGGTCACTTCCGAGGTCATCATGGCACGTGACAACAAGCATCATTTTCATGATCCAGAATCTGCTGCCATTATCAAAATATAAAGAGTATATTGGAGAAAGTGAGTGGCAGAGGAGAGACGTCAACCAGTTGGTCAACTACTCATCACCACGTGGTGGTCAGTCTCACTAAAGAATCTGGGAGCGGTCAGTCTTCTTCACTCGTCTATTCTGACCGTCTTCGCTCGTTTTAGCCTTATAATAAAGCTTAAAGAAAGAATTGTTAGAATTTCACGCCCACAAGTTTCAAACGACCTCTACTTGTTTCGGGTCGTCTGAGTTCTTAACAACATTCTGCAAAGGGAAGATGATTCCCATTGGTCTGTGTTGATACTTCTAGATTCACATGTTCTTCGATCTGTTGATTTCTTTTTATTATTTCATAACATGCAAGGCAATAAAGCCACTAAGATTCAGGGGGTATAAGAAAAAGATAAATATCATTACAAAGAGAGAACAATAAAAGGGTGTGAATTATGTAGGCAAATTATAATGATTGATGTAGCATCTACATTTCTGAAGAACAAAATGATGAGACCTAGCTGTCAATCTAGTACTGCGCTTAAATTCGTAATGTCGATGTACCAAAGAGAAAAGCTCATCGGAACGATTACCATTAAAATATTTATAGAAAAAGCGAAGGGATGGTGACTTATGCCGAGATGCCAGGTTAGGACCGATAACATTGCAGATTATTATTTAGATTTTATCAAGAATCTTTAAATCCATATAAGTACCAGACTAGATGTAACAGCAATATTCAATGCAAGGACAATGGTAGCTTTATATACGTGTTAGATAGATTCTGTGGACGTCGTGTGATCAATTCGATCATGGTAAACGACTCTACAAGGTTGCCGTCCAAAAGTTGGTCTACGGGTTCAGGAATGCGTATCTGACTAGTGTTTTATTGTTTATTATACAAAATATTTATTTATTTTTGTCTACCGGGCTATCTAATTAAATAATTATGCGCTCTCCGGTGAGGTTCGAACCTTCGTTCCCGGTTTAATAAACAAATGGATTGTCTATTCAGGTAAAAAAATAAAAAAAAAATAACGTTAAACGTCATCAAATCTGTGGGAATTTAAAAAATATACATTAAAATCAGAAATTGCTTTGTTTACGTTTGGATAGGACATTGGGCAGATATCAAGATTTCGAAAGTCTATGACGAAAAGAATTTCACTTAAAAGGACTGTACAGCCTTGCTCGATCGGCAAAAGTTTTCCGTAGCTGAGTTGGTTAATATATAACGGGCGTAACAGCAAAATGGTCCAAATTAAGATATCTTTAATCATTTCTAAGATACAACGATTCAAAGCTTAATCTAACAATTGGACAATTTTGCTGTTACAAGTTTAGACAATTGCTGTTACAGCTGGTATAAGAGGATTGCTTGAGGCGGGAAACATACTGTCACCTACCCTATTGATTCCTATGTCCATATTGTCTAGATCTATATATTCTCACAATCTCTCCCACAATATATATATATATTCTCATATAGCCTCAGATTTTCAGATACATACACACACACACACACACACACATATATATATATATATATATATATATATAAATTTCCAAGAGGATAGAATCCAGGTAGAACTTAATGTCCAGGACAGAGTAAGAATATAATATAAAAGGCTCAAACACTAATATTCCATATTCCATGGTTATAATTTATTACATTGGAATCGTAATCACGATCCAATTCATCAGACCTACAAATTCAAAAAGAAAAATATAACTCCGGGTATAAAAAACAAAATTTTAGTGAGAGTGTATGTGTGGAAGTGGAAAACAAGTGAGAGGGAAATGTATGAAAGCTCTAGAGAGAGGGTGTAACAGAAGAAAGAAGAACAGGAAGGCTTAAAGGTGAAGGTGGGGATTAAAATTTAACAGAGAGATGTTTTAAAGAGAGGAGTTAAATAACGGTTTAAAAGAGTGAGATACAGATAAATAGGAATTATTTTCAGATGCATAAATTCGCTGACCTAAAATTAAAATTAAAAAAACAGACACCGGAAACGTGTGGATACATTTGTGGTGACACTACACACAATAAAAAAACGATATGATCTAAACTTAAAATCCAGCCAATTCATACTGCCGATGTATATGTGAAACTTTTCCGTCTGCTTTACATTACTAACCACTAACCTTATGTATACAAGAAAAGAGAAGATGAGAGAGAGAAAAAAGGTGGGGCTAAAAACGAGGGCACTTATAATAGAACTTAAGTGTAACCAAGAATAATTAGACGAAGCAAGTAAAATCACCAACAGGTTACAAACTTAACCTAAACATGTAAAAAATGTAAAGAATATTAAATCTAGTAAAGACCTACTATTTATATGCCGCAAAACACATACGTATATACACACATACACAGCAACATATCGATACATACTCGTACATACATATACATATACGTGTTCACATATATATATATATATATACACATGCACTCATGCATACATATACAGATACACGCATATACTCATAGACATATGTGCAACCAAACACATATACATAAAACCTTATACACATTCATACATACACAAATATTGGATCGTTTCTTGGCCGATGGCTGAGATTCGATCAAGGCTTTGAATAGCTTGGACTGGCTCCGGCCTGGACCTGTTAGGACAAGTCATGACCAGCTTTGACTAGGCTCTGACCAGCTTGGACAAGTTATGACCAAATTTTGACCGGTGGCCTTTGAGTGGAAACACTCGGGTTTCCCACGTTAATCGACCTTGTGTCACATCTTGACTTAGTGGGAGTCAAGTAAATACCTTCATACATACACATACACACACACCCATCTAAACAGATATACAACGTATCTATCTATCTATCTATCTAATATATATATATATATATGTTATACTAGAACATACATATTCTATTGTTAATAGACTCTCCCACATATTATTAGTAGTAGTAGTAGCAGTCGCCAGGGAGCTCAGTGAGTTGGTGTGTCGGACATTAATGTATCAAGCACTACAACTAGATTGCTGCGTCATTAACTATTATAACAAGTTCCTAACGTTTTGTACGTCGAACCTTTTTAGGACCGACTTAGTGAAATACAAGCCTCCACTGTGAAAACTCTACAACAATATACAATATATATATATATATATATATATATATATATATATATATAATTAAAAGGTAAAAAGTAAGAGGTAAAAAGCACACATCCATCCATATATACACTTAACATATAAAAATAGATGGGTAGAATTAAACTAATTTGTACTTAAAAAACTACTGAGGAAGAAAACGTTAACAATATTAAAAAAATCACACGGAGTGATTAACGCTTATATATCTATTAAATCTACATATATGCCTATGTATATAAAAAATATCAGAAAACTATCAGATTTTGTATATACCCACATACACATATACCAACACATGAATAAAGTTTGCTAACACAAATGATCAAAAATATATAGAGCACCACATAAACACAGACAATGAAATATATAGGTACTAATAAGAGTCATTCCATTTAAATGTTATGTCCAATGTTAGAGATCCAAGATGGAACTGTTATAGGTAACAACACCTTATAAAACCGTGTTTATGTTTTAAAGCTTTTTTTATGTCTACATTTGGAAATGATCTCACTGCGAAGATTCAGCAACTCATCTTGATTTTTATCTTTAATAATAATATTTTTCCGCAATGTATAGATCACATAGATCGCGGAAATTATTAGGGGTTCTTGCTCTTGATAAGAATCTCCATTTGAAATGCGGGGTTAGTCCCTTATCCACCAGATCCCAGTAGTGTTTGGATAAGGAGGTTTGATTTTTAAGGTATAGATATTTAAAAGAGCGTCTATGGTTGTATAGACATTGCTTCCAATTACCAGCGGATATACCTATGTATCTTTTTTTCTGGCTGATATTTTATTCGGGGAAGATTGTAGCTTCATATATCACATTCTCATACATACATTTTCCCCCGATTGGACAATTAGCTCTACTCCTACAATTACAGGTGGGGCTACTAGATTGAGCTTCATTACTATGGTAGTTCTTAAGTATTTTACAATTGTGGGAAGATATAATTTTCTCCATATTACTTACACATGAATAACTAATTTTCAGTGTCTTCCTAATGGAAATTTTATATAGTGGATGTTTACTAAGAAAGTGCTTGTCTATTAACCTTATCAATTTTTTTTGAATTCATAGGTCTGATGAATTGGATCGTAATTACGATTCCAATGTAATAAATTACAACTGTGGAATATTAGTGTTGTATAGATAGATAGATAGATAGATACATAGATAGATAGATACTGGGACTCTCAAGCTCATCTCAAGGGACGAATGTAATACGCTTGTTCAAGCTTTCTCTCTCTTGTGGCCTAAGTGTAGAAAGATAAACTAATGGACGTTTAAATTTGATCAAAGGCGTGGATTTTTACTGAAAAAACCAGATACGACTATTTTATAAAAAAACTGTTGCAATGAAGAATGTGAACGTTTCATATAAATTTTCCTTCCGTTCATTCTTGCTTGAATCTTTCTTTCTTACAGAAATATCATTTTTAATTCTGTTTGATTTCGCATCCTGACAGACTGAGAAACCTAGCATTGAAAATTCGATTCGCTATCCTACGAGGACTGTGCCAGAGCCTGCCGAACATTTAAGATGCTGTTAAATGGTCCTGTCATTGCTGGAGTCGATATCTGTGCAAAGACTGACTTGCTGCATACTACCCGTCAAAATCTTTACTTCACTGTTCTATTCTTATTTTTCATTTCCTTTTTTTCCATCTTTTTTTCATCAAAAGAAAGAAAAATAAACAAGGAAATAAATCTATGAAAAAGGCACAATAAAATCCCTGAAAACTGTCGGAAGAAATGGCGGAAAAGATGGGAAAAAAGAAAATGAAAAATAAGAATGGAACAGTGAAGTAAAAATTTTGACGGGTAGTATGCAGCAAGTCGGTCTTTTCAGTCATTTCTCCCGACAGTTTTCAGGGATTTTATCGTGCCTTTTGCATAGATATATTTCCTTGTTTATTTTTCTTTCTTTCGTACGAGGTTGTTTATTTATTTAGAGATTATTTTTTATGTTTTTTTTTTTAAGAAATTCTTTCACCGATTCCAAACTACAACCTCTTCTGCTTATTCTTTTCCGACATTTTTACTTTCTTCGTTCATTCACAGTCGGATCTGTCACACAACTGTTTTCATTTTTTGTTTGCTGGCGCCACAACTACTTTCCCTTTTCTACCTCTTACTTCCTCTTTTTTCCCATTTTCTCTCTCTCTCTCTCTCTATATATATATATATATATATATATATATATATATATATATATATATATATATATATACGTGTACGTATGCACACACGTACAGAAATACACACGCATACGCATAGCCACGCGCAGACACACATACACACACGAATACAATGCACTAATAAATCTAACACCAGCAAAAAAGCGCATGAATTATTTTAAAATTTAATAAAGAAATTGCTGATATCTTCTGACGAGTGGACCGAACAATTGCATCAACCTCAATTTTTATGTTTGTATTAATCTTCTTGCTCAAGAATAAAAGCAAAATGAAATGCGGAAAAAGTTGAGAATGACATTAGAAGAGAAAGAATCATCAGACAACAGCGATTAAAAAATCCTCGTTGCATTATTTGTTTTGCATACGTGGCATACTTAATGAATTTTCATTAACATTACATAATTTATTTCTTTTTCCTTAAAATCAATTCCGTTATATTTCACTCACCATTAGCTTATTTTGTTTACTATAAAATAAATGTTAAACCTGATTTCAGTTCTTTTATTTTAATCTAAATATAACCCCTCATATACGTACTTTGTAACCAATTCCTCATATCCGGAAAGTTTCCTTAGTCTGGTTGTCAGGGATTCTACTGTATTTGATATTTCTTCATGTCGCTGACTTTGCCGTGAAATGCAATAAAGAAAATTTCCGTCTCATAGGAATATCATTTTAATTCTGTTTTGTTCTTTCTTTGTTTAATCTGAATTAGTTCATGTCCTGATTTTCAAAATGTAAATTAATTGAAAAATATAAATTTACTTCTGATATTCTTCCCTTCTCTGGTAAATAATATTGCGATCGTTTCCTTTATATTTATCATGTCTGCTGGATCTGACATTTCAGGTTTCCATTAACGAAAGGGAATATTTAAAAGCTCAGAGAGAGAGAGAGAAAATAGGGCCAAAAAGCAACGTGGAACTATTGACAAAGATGCTGTCAAAAATATTTTTAAAATGCAGCTGAATCAAAGAGATGAGACAAGCAGATTGAAAGACAGCAACAACAGCTTTCTACATTTTTTTGTTTCTAGATCGTATATCCTTCCACTAATATCATCCATTGAAGAAAAAAAACAGTGACAGTTTTGAGCCAGGGTAACAACCTAATGGACCTTACTGGCTTTTAAAAGTCCCTAGATATGCCATAGAATGATGGATGATTTATCTTCCAAGCTTGGGTCATAGTATACTAATGCCTTTTTATTCGACCTACAGGAGATGGGCGTTAACATTGATAAGTCAAAAAATAGTCAAAACGCAAAAGTAAAAGTAACCACCTATCAGTAACATGTTTAGAACTATGAAAGTATCATCTGCATTGCTGTTGATTGCAAAGTTGATAAAGACAATTTGTAATACAAAGAGATTACAAAGGAAAACAGCGAAAAAAATGTAAGGACCACAGAGCCACTGACTTTCACCAGAAATGATCCAGAAAATAGATATCTCACCCACAGAGATCATCCCTAACATTGATGCAACTGGTGTTATTTTAGAGGATGTTGCTGCTTCTGTTTTAGAAGAATTCAACAACATAAATTCAATTAAAGCAGTTCTTGATGATAATACCAATACAAGCACTGGTTATAAGTCAAAAATAGACGGGAGGAAAAAGGTAAGAGTAAAAGTAACCACCTATCAGAAGCCTGTTCAGAACCATGAAAATCTGCATTTGTGTTAATTGCAAATTTGATAAGTACACTTTGGAATACAAAGGAAAACGGCGAAGAAAAAAACGGCGAAGAAAAACAAAAGAACCATAGCGCCACGACTTTCACCAGAAATGGACCAGGAAAATAAATATCTCACCCCACAGAGATATCCCTAACATAGGCGAAACTGGTATCATTCTAGCAGAAGATGCAGCTGCTGCTGTTTTAGAAGAATTCAACAGTTTAAATTCCATTAAGGCCGTTATTATTGACAATACCAGTACAAACACTAGTTGTGAGGTAGGGCTTGTTACAGCTCTGGAGCAAAAAAACTTTAAAGAAATTTGCATAACTTTGGCTGTTCACTTCATCAAAGTGAACTTCCATTTAGAGCTGTTTTTAAATACATTGATGGAACTACAAGAAGCCCTAGTTTTACTGGTCGTCGGCACCTCGAGGTGGTGTAATGGTTAACAAGCTTGTCTCGTTATAACAATTACGGCTGAGTAGTGAGTTCAATCCTCACTGGGTGCCCCTTACTTTCGGCCTTGTGCCACATACAAGCTACGCTTGGATAATCACTACTTTTACTGGTCGTCTAGGGAAACTTTGTGGAAATGATTACCGAGATTTGACACAAGTATAATTTAACACTATCAATAGCTCTCGAGATAACTTCTACCTTATTACAGGGGAAATGGAAAATTTAAGTGGTGACCAAAGACTGCTCTTAGAATATGCAGCAGGAATTTCAAGATGGAAAGTGACACCTAGATTTGCTGCCTGGAAAATTGTGTCTCTAAATCAAGCAAGATGACTAACTTTAGCCGTCAGGTTAGTGTGTTTAAGGACCAGAGGTACCTATCCACCAGAAATATAAATTGTACAGCTTCATAAAATGTATAATTGGAATATATGCAATTAGTTGGTTTTTGTTATGATGTTGATTTGGGGTTAGTAGAGAAAAACACCAAATAACACGTAACAATAAAAAGGGTTTTAATAGGTTGGTAAAAAGGTACAGAAATCGCCTGAGTAGTCAATAACTAGCCCAGCTAAGAACTTCTCTGTCTATCTGTCTTCCCCATGTCAACTGACATGCCACTGTTTAAAGTCTTTGTTCACAGACGCAGACAAGTTCATCTTCAAGAGGGGTGGTAGGTTTCCGACACAACAGTTTTAAATTACAAGTGATGATAAATTCCATAATCAGCAACTGGATATCTTCAACAGGATCTCGAGAAGGCAGAATGTTGCATTAAAAGATTTACAGAACAATGCTTCCGCCATGTTTCCAAAAAATATTCTTTTCTCAATTTTGAAGTCACAATGATATGAGGAAAGAGGCTATAAATATTTAATCCGTTAGATTAGTAAACATTTATTCATACTTAATTAGCTATGTTCATTTACAAGACGAATTTAAAAATTTCATTTTTAATTACATCACAAGAGTGTAAACAAGTCTGGGTAAATATTTCAATAAAAATATTTTTTATTGTTTTTACCAGATTAAAAATGACATTCATAAACTCTGAAACGACACACTGGTCAAATTTGATTAATCTCTCACAAAATGGAGTTTTCGTAAACCTGCACTTGCAGAAGGTTTTTCAAAGAATGGCCTGCAAGACTTCTTTCCACGTTTGATATTGAGTTTAAAATCTCTCATGTTGCCTTGTGGGCGATAACATTTAATGTTCTACGGCCTCTTTCTCCAGACACAATCTGACAAGACTTTCGCTAATCTATCACTACTACCATGGCAACTGATCAAATGTGCACAATCCTTTAGTTTCACCAGTTCAAGTCTTTACAGATTGTTTTCTCCGTTCTCAAACTGTAGGGGGGAAAGTTAGACCCAGACTTCTTCTTTCACAAGAACTGCTCTCTTATCAAACAGACATTTGCGGGTTTTCCCGAACATTTAACCCTAATCTCTTCAAGAGCCAAATATTATATTCTTATTATTTCAACTTCCTACTATATTCGAATCACACACCTCATTCGGTAAACCGCTATCATGTGTGATTATATAGGTTTAATATCTGCCAGAAGATTAATTTCTTTCGACCTCTAGGCACGTAGATATTAAGTTCGCTATTTTAAAAACATGTATGTCTACCCAAACATATATAACCAGTGAATCCAACGTACGTAGTAATAGGAGATAATGTTATATTATAAAGTCCATTAATTGATCACACGCTTATATAAATTTTCGTCTAAATGAAGCAAAAATAAAAATAACACTGACATCTCATTTAAAAAGAATAATTTACCAAAATTACACAAAAATATCTTGAAATACTAAAGGGTAAATTTATTCAATAAAATCGCCATTGGCT